AAGCAACGCTCCTAGAACTATACGAAAACAATAACTGATCATCTTTCGGCGGCACACGAGTCAACGAGTTATCAGAGCTCTGCGAGTTATGAGTCGTCCCCCGCTCTCAGATCTCAGTCTGTGCGCGCGTGTATTCTCCATGCCTTCGTTTCTTTTGCTTGGTGCTTGGTTTCTTGTTCCGCTCGCTCTCGTGTAACGCCAGTAAAGCCCGTCGCCTGTGCGAAAGGCGCCACCGCCGCCACTCCCCCCCCCCCCCCCTCCTTCCCCCCTCTACTCTTTGCTTTGACGCTTCTTTTTTGTATTGCATTTTTTTGCGTATAAGTCTGTAGAGCTCCACGCGGGTTAGCTGTTTCCCGCCCGCTCATTTTATCTCTGAGCAACTGGCTCGCCGACTGGCTCAAATTCGCTGACCGTAAACACAAAAAAAAAAAAAAAAAAAAAAAGAGAAGAGCCGGGCCCATTCCATTCCCATTCCATTCCGGGAAAAAGGCATCTAATTCCATTCCCATTCCATTCCCCTTAACGCTGTCGCCATTCCATTCCCATTCCATTCCGTGGTCGCGAAAATTCGGAATGATTCCGGAATCATTCCAACTCCGGAGTGGCAACTCCGCAACACTGCAACCCACAGGACCGATTCGAAGCTTGGATTGAATTATGTCTTTGCAGTGTAACCGGAAATGACAGTAACTCAGTACCACGTTTTTCGTGTGTCTGTGCCTATGATGCTTGCGTGTTCAACGACCAGGTGGCGACTGCTACGGAACAATATACACCAGTGTCAGTAGTTGCTAAAATCAATGCGACATATTTTTTGCTCCTTATTTTATGGTGTAGCTCTTGGCTTGCTGGCAAATTGAGGTGGGCCTACTGGGAATAAGATGCAACTGTTTTTCCCAGCGCGTGGGGATCTCTTTTTAACCTCTAGTGTTAAAAGATTTACACCTCTAATGCAAGATAAGCTAAAAGAACTTGTAGTTGGGCTAGTTGGTAAACATAATAAGGCATGATGTAAGGCGCAAAAAAATTATGGACGCAAGGAAGACGACACACACACAGGCGTCTGGGTGTCTTTTTCTTTGCATCCATTGTTTTTTATGCCTTATACAATGCTTCATAAGAGATGTTAGTTGCAGACCGTGGCCCAGAATGCTTATGTAGTGCGATGCTCGGGTAAGAATACATTATCAGAAACGACGGACGCAATGCTTACTGTCCATCGACTGCCACATACGATGTGAACGCGAAATTGCTCGCTAGGAGAGGAGTTGTGGCGCCAGTGTCTTGTCCCACTGACGCTTTACAGAGCATACGGCAACTCGGGAAAAACGCGGTCGGTCAAAAGAATAGAGTTTTTGCACAACGCGACGGCCTCGAGCAGTATTGCCATCAGGATCTGGTACTGTGATTGCGAAGCATACTCTCAAGCGCGCGCCCAGAGCGCTACTGTGCCACGCGCTGAAACGAAACTCCCACGAAGCGGCACGTGTAGCTGTGCGCGCAACCCCTTTCCGCGATGATTTAGAAGCACTCAAATGCAGGGTGGCAGAAGAAATCCCGCGTTTACCTTCCTGCCTCTCCACAAAGAGATCATGCGACTGGACTGCGGCCTCGCCAGGAGCTCTCGCGTAGTTGAACACGGTCGGCACGAAATCAGGGCGGTCCTTGAAGTTCGATGGCCGCCCTAGAAGTCATCACCACGTTATAATCGGGCAAAAGTCGCCAGAAGCTCACGAAGTTGTACCTGTGATGAAGTGCGCGCTGCAGATCTGGCAGTCCCTGCTCGGCTGCCATAGCGAGCCGTCCGGGTGTACTCTCCTAACTGCAGCTACCCAGGCGTCCCTCTTCTCGGGATACATGAGTTTGGACGGAAATCAAAAAACTTCGCAGCATCTTTGCCGTAAAAATGATTGCTCCAACCACAGGCAGCGCAACGAGCAGTCATTACTTGTCACACGACGTGGATGTCACGCGTCATACGGCTCGGCTTGCAGGTTCACTCAGTTCACTCAGTCCACTGGTTCGACGAGCTGGTCTCTAACGGTCGCTTTCTTTCTTGGAAGTCTGCTGGTAACCCACGGCCCTCAGATTCCCTGATGCGGAGCAAACTGCAGCCGAACGGCCGAAAATACCATCTCGGACTCTCGGATGCTCCGCGCCGAAGCAGCCGAACACGCCGAACTGGCTGAACTTTCTTCGACATTTTGGATTGGCTTGGCCCTTGGGTGGATAGATGTTAATAGATATACCTTTTGTAACAGGCGGTAGCTTGCGCCACCTAGGCTAAGTCTAAAAAGACAAAACATATGACTCCTCCCGCCTTTCAGACGTCCCAATTTAGGCGGGACAGGTCCCGCTGTCCCTCCAACGTGCTTGTGGGACGCCGTTTTATCCCACTTTTGCTCCTCGAACCGCGAATGGATGAAAGATTCGGTTAAACGAAAGGATCGCACCGGTGAGAGGGTGCTTCCTCTGATCAAGGAACAAGATATGCTCGACAGAGAAGATGCTGAAGGTCAATTGGCGTATAACATGTGAACAGTACTATGGACATAGTACACAAAAATAAATACATTAATACTAAAGGAATATTCGATCCAAATGTATTAGATAGCTGCAAGCCACACAGTACGCAAATATCAAGAAAAGAAATGCACACGTAGATGGTTGAGCGTGTTGGTTATTAATTCACGATAAGGAAAGAGGGACATTTAAGACAAACAGACAAGACAGGCTTTCTGTTTGTCTTGTCTGTTTGTCTTAAATGTCTCTCTTTCCTTATCGTGAAAATGCACACGGTGTATACGAAATAAAGAAAAGGTATGATTTGTTACCGAAATTTAAACTTTTCAAGGCCTGTCCTGCGAGAGGCCGCTGCCTGCCGGCTATTTCGGACTTCTTTGTGCTCTCTGACACAGATATAACGTGAAGATCTGAAGGAATGAGACTTCATACCCTTTTTGTGCAATATCACTCTGGATATTAGCACCTGTGAGACACCATCAGTCGTATTGGCGTAGTGGTGCTCAGATTCCCGGATGTGTTTCAGGATCGATAAAACTCTTAGTGCTTTTAGCATAAAATTTTCGCATTCTCCCAGCTTCGTTTGAACGTTTGAATGTCTGAGAATTGATGTAAAATGTATGCGACGCACGTACCTAGGGGAAGTAGTTTTAGCTCTAGGTAACTGCATAATCACAGCGACTTTTAGCGACAAAGCTCCTGCTATCTTTAAGTTTTGTACTAATCAACAATTTTACAACATACCTTTTAGCATAAAATTTTCACATTTTTCTAGCTTTGTTTGAACGTTTGAATGTCTGATAATCAAAGCGAAAGGTATACATTGCGTGTAGGGCCTAAGGGAAGTTGTTTTAGCCCTTGGTCACCGAAGAACAACAACAACTTTTAGCAAGGAAGCTCCTGCAACTTTTACCCTTTTGTACTAATTGACGATTTTACAAAGAGGCAGTTCTCAAGATTTTGATTTAATGTGCTTTCATTTGAGTAGCTCGATCTTGATCACTGGATTCCACACAGCACGCGGCAAAAGCATGCAACGGGATGCTACAAACACCAAAACATTACTCATACAGTGAGATCTCGAACGGATGACCATATTTTTCAAGAAAAGGAGGCGCATTTGACAGAAATGTTCACATATATGTTTCTCCGAAAAGGAGAGGGAACGGCCTTGCGTCTTCTCCGCCTCGCTGCCTTGAGGGAGCAAAGTGAAGAGAGGAGGAAACTAGGTATCTTGGTGTCATGCGCCTTGTTGGCCTGGCTCAACCTCTTTTTCCAAAAATACAGCCGTCCATTCGAGATATCGCCTTACGAGTAGTGTTGTAGGGATTGTAGCGTCCGCCTACATCTCGTGCATTGTTTTTTCTGAAATCCAATTTTCGGTTCACCATCCCTTTAAGTGAAAAGTTGGTGTTTGTTTAAGTGATGTGCACACAAACTCTTACAAAGCATTCAAACCTATCATCCGGAAAAAAAGTTCATTACTATTGATCATAAAGCAATTAATTTATCTGATTGGAACTCGGAACACAGTTAGCAAGCATTCACATATTTGATTGATCAGTGCACAAATTACTTGATCCGATGTCCTTTAGAAATTAGTAGGCTTTTGACCCTGCCGATCAGTATCAATAGTCCATGCTAACCTCCATGTGTATGACCAGACTCATATTAGATGGTTGTCTAATCCATCATTCCAACATCTAGAATCTTGAAAAAAAGGCAGCCCTACTCCTTAGAGATCCAGAGATGGCACCACTCGTTTCAACAAATCAACTGTAGAGCGTGTTGGTAACATTGACTGACCACAGAAAGGATAAAACAAACTCGGGACGAAGGACGACAAACATTTCTTTCAATTAGCAATGACATGATTCACATTGTTGACAGTTGGAAGAAATGTTTGTTGTCCTTTGTCCCAAGTTTTTTTTATTCTTTCTGTGGTCAGTCTTTTCAACAATTTGTTCAAGTTAATGCATCTTGGAAATAGAAGATTAACTGCACATTTTTTCTTTTCTAGGATTTATTGCAGCCATCATTTTTTTCATCAAGAGTGTGTTGTATCAGTAAAGTCGATTTACTTGTTCTAATTACCTAAACAAGCTAAGTTGTATTTCTGTTCACCCCTTGTTCGAAGAAGCAGACTCGTTGCAAAATGTTGACTACCATTCCTTTCAGTGCTGCCTATACTTCGTTTCCCCACAATTTGGCAAAGGGCAACTGTCAGAACCCCCTCGAGCCAATCAGAGAGACGGAGTAAAAGCATGTGACAAATCTTTGCAGAAGGAGAGCACTCTGATGATATGTTGACACGTGCCTCTCCAACGTGCATACTGGTTCACTGGGACTGTAGCCTTGGCCGTTTGTCAAAATGCGATGAAACGAAGCACAGTAGCTACTATGCTAATTACCCAAGGCCTTCATACTTTAGACATTTGTTCGACAAGAATGTAATGTCAGCAGCAATCACTGTGAACTCGGCTCAGCGCCTATTGGACTCGAGTGCCGCATTAGCATTCAACATTTAAGTTATTCACTTTAAAAAATCCGTATTTATTCAATGACAATCAACTGGCGGTGGCGAGTGACATACCATGCTGTAGATGCGTCGCCGCCTTTTCACCCAGTTTCTTGATGGGGTCCACAGGTTCACCATAGGGCTCAACCCGCCAACTTGAGTACCAATGGTACACTGTGCGTGCACTGGGGTTCTGAGCACCACTGGCAAGGTGCTCCATACTTGCATTAGTAGCCGCCAGCTTCTCTTGGTGCCGGCACATTGCCTCTGCCGGGGTGAGTCCGTCCTAAAACAAAATCATCCTCGGGTTGAGTGGTATATGGAATAGGTGCATTTCAATTTCCCCGGACAGCCTAAGTTTTGAAATAAGAGTGTTGACGTCTTGCATATAAAACAGACTATCTGCCCAAATGGGTAGGTGAAAGGAGAAATGGCGAGACAGACTCGGAGGTGGGGAAGAGGAAGAAATCAGCCTACCTTGAAGTACCCGTGAAAGAGTGCTCGGGTGTCCGCCGTGCTCTTCAGTAGCCGCAGTTCGTCGGCACAGCCAGGGTTGTGGCTGTGATCTTCTCTAAGCTTGATCACCGCTGCCAGCGGGACTGCCTTCTTTAGAAAGGCATCATTCTTTTTGGTGTTCTTGTTAATTTTTTTTATTTTGATGTCCACGAAGGCTGGGCAGTTGGTGGCATGGCGACCAGCGGTCTTGCCAACACTGCTCTGCTGGCAGCGCCACTTTTGGTGGAACACCATCCTGTTGAGAAATTATATTAAGTGCGTGAGATTAATCCACAGTTTTATCAACAAAGTGCCGAGTTTTGCCACATCAATGATGGAAAGGTTAATTGCCTGAATTTTTATAGCACCCCGATTCTTTTCTATAATAGCACAGATCAAAATTGGCTCTTCTCTGTCTTTGGGTGTACAATTATTTCATTTAAATTCTTTCTTTCTTTAAACTGTGATGTTGTTAACACTGTACATTGAACCATATTTTGCTAATATTCTGTACCGACCTTGTCTGTTATTGAAAGTATAGAATGAAAGAACAAAGTAAGCATTGTTGTGGACGCGGGCTGCTTTTTTTTTTTTTTATTGTTTACAAGCACTACGGAGGAGTTGTGGGGCTTGATGTTAAAAGTGGAAGCAAAGCCATTATTTTATTGTAATGACCTGGAAACAGCCTAAAACAAATTTGTTTCCAAATCTTGCATACAAAATGTGAAAAATCAGCATCAGTATTAAATGTTTTCAATGATCTCCTATCTGTCGAGTGAGTGACACGACTGCTGACTCGCAAGGCGGGGAAGTGCCGCTCAAGGTTTATCCAATCTCTTTTATAGTGGCAGATGCAGTGATGCCACCCAGTGGTACAGCGGTACACTACACTACATCCTCCCTTCAGTAAAACAAAGCAACAAAACAGAGGAACTCTTGCTCCGAAAGAAGACGTTCATAGGTCAAGCCTTCTCAGCCTGTGGATCCTTCCGCCGAACCTCGAGACTCGCAGCGTGGAAGCAGAAGTAGAACTGCCGGATGCCTGTCCAGTTGAGGAGCTTTCCCGAGGCGATGTGGTTCTATGGTCTTGGGCCGTTCCAGCTGCTCCAAGCGTTGTTGTGGGCATGGCTGTCCGTTCCGCCGTGGGGGTGCCAGATAGGCTGGTGGTGCCTTCTGCAGGACTTCCCATCGTTGGCACAACATGCATCCGGTTGCACTGGAGAACACCTGTCGGTGTCTCCACAACATATGAGCGGGGGCATTGAGCTGGCCTCATGACAGTCATGGGACAGTTGGCATCTTATACCCATTGGCAGTTGGCATCTTATACTCGTTGGCCTGGAGAGGCCGAAGTGTGCAAGCTGCGTGCCTCCGGTTGAAGTTCGATGCTTCCAGTCTCCTTTTGGCTTGGTCACGCTGAGTGAATGGGGCTGACGGGGGCCAGGCTGGCTCCAGCTCGTGCGACGTCTTCGGTACCCGAGACTGCAGGCGCCTGCCCATGAGCAGCTGAGCAGGGCTTGCTCCGTTTACACCCTGGGTGTCTCGATAGACCAGAAGCGCCAGGTAGGGATCCTCTGCCTTCTGCAACAGGTCCTTGACCGTCCTCACCGTCTGTTCCACCTCCCCGTTCGACTATGAAAAACGGGGGCTGTTTGCGACGTGGCGGAAGCCGTAGGGCTAGTCGAAGGCAGCAAATTCTCTCGCAGCAAAGTGAGGCCCGTTATCACTGTGCACCAGTCTTGAGATCCTGTGGCGCGCGAAGACGCTCTTGATGGCGTTAATGACAGCAGGTGCTGTCGTCGAGTGCAGGCTGACAACCTCCAAAAAGCATGACCGGTAATCCACCAGGACATATTTCTGGTCATTCAGATGGAAGAGATCTACTCCCACCTCTTCCAAGGGTTGACTTGGAGTCGTTGACGGCAACATGGGCTCCGAGCGCAGCACTCTGGTTTTGACGCACGTGGGGCAGTTGTGTCTATCTCGTTGATACCGGCCACCAGATCGACTCCTGAGCGAGAGCTTTGCATCGGTTGATGCCCTGATGCCCATCGTGAAGGAGCTCCAACTTGTGGCACTGAAGGGCAGACGGCACAATGTTGCGCGACCCCTTCAGAAGCAATCCCTTGCAGACGCTGAGCTCCCCTTGATACTGCTAGCTTCTCTTGATGTGGAGAGGCAAGTGAGACTGCGCATGGCCAGCTGTTGGCACAGTACTGAAGCAGCAGACTGCACTGGCCACCATTGGCTTGAGCCTGGCGCAGGTGCTCGAGCTGTGACGAGACAATGTCTGGGAGGGAACAGGTGACCTCTTGAACTAAGAGCTCGACTTGATTCACCCGGCTAGACGGAGAGGAATCCAGCAGTGCGTGCGAGGGCATATCGGCAGCTGCCAACAGCTTTCCCGGTTTGTTGAATACTTGGTACTGGAAAGGCATCAGCTTCAAGCAAAACCGCTGGATCCGTGGTGGCAACAGGTCAACGTCCACGGACCCCAAGAGCGCCACCAGAGGTTGATGGTTCATCTCGAGGAAAAACTGAAGTCCACGGAAGTACTCCTCAACCCTCTGCACCACCCACGTGACCGCCAAAGCTTCTTTTTTCCATTTGGCTGTACCGGTGCTCCGTGAGTGTAAGGGACCGCGATGCAAAAGTGACAGCCCGACGTGGATGGCTGTTCCTGAAGGAGTACTGCCCCGAGTCCAAAGGAGCTGGTGTCGGCCGAAATCGTGGTGTGGTAACGAACCACGCCGAAGTCTGAGCGCAGCAGCTCCTTCAGTTGGGAGAAGGCAGACTGCTGCGCATGGCCCCAAGTCGAAGCCGAGTTCTTGAGCACCAAGGCTCGGATTGGTGCTGTCGCCTCCGAAACATAGGGTAAAAAGCACCCAATGTGATTCACGAGGCCCAGTGGACGACGGATACCTGCACGTCTTCAAGTGCAGAAATGGCTTGGATCGCAGCCACCTTATCTGGGTTTGGAGAGATGCCTTGAGCGCTGACCACGACGCCAAGGAACTTGATGCTGGAAGTGGCGAATGAGCACTTTTCCCGGTTGAGCGTGACTCCTGCCTTTGCAAGCCGGTCAAGGACTTGCCGGAGACGGCGGCCATGCTCGGAGCATGTCTTCCCAAAGACGAGTATGTCATCAATCATGTTCACAACACCCGCTTGGCCTTTGAGGATCCGGCACATCTGCCGCTAGAAGTAATCCGGTACATACGTGATCCCAAACGGCAGCTGGAGGAAGCAGTAGCGGCCAAACAAAATTATGAACATGGTTAATTTTGGGAGTTGGGGAACAGCTTGACCTGTTGGAAACTTGATGTGGCGTCTAACTTGCAGAGAACTGCGGCTTCTCCGAGCAACGCAATGCATTTTTCCACGGTAGGAAGCACATGACACTCTCGAAGAACCACTTTGTTGAGGTGAGTCAAATCCACACAGAGCCAGTAGCCACCCGAGACCTTGGGGACGACAACTAGTCCAGCACACCTGTCAGTGGGTGTGTCCACTCAACGAATCACGCCTTCAGCTTCTAGCTTATCGAGCTCGGTCTTGACAGCGTCACGGAGAGAGAGTGGAAGGTGCCGTAGTACGCTCAACGAGAGAGGTGTGGTGTTGGGTTGCAGCCCGATGGTGTAGGCTTCTGGAAGCGTCCCAAGTACTCGGAAAAGGCTGCGATCGAGACACAATAGTTGCCTGCGGGCTGAGGAGCCCCCAGACGTTGTCGACAAACGTACAGAGGCCCAAGGCTTGGATTGCCGGAAAGCCCAGCAGCGGGGCCATCTTGGCGGCCAGGACGTAGAGCAGCTGCTTGATGGACTTGCCGTGCCACACCAGGGTAGCGGCATAAGTGCCTAGGGCTGGCAGGGTGTTGTTGCCAGGGCCTTTCAACTCGCTCCCGAGATCTTGAAGCTTGAGGGGACGCCGGTAAAAGTACTGGGTACGACAGAAACTTCGGGCCGGAGTCCACATTGAAGGAACGCAGGCACCCGTCGACGAGTACTTCGACGAGCTTCGCGTTTGGGCACTATTCCGTAAAGGTATGTAGCTCAATGGAGCTGGCCGGAGGCTTCTGTGTCTGCTTCCTGTTGACGCGCTTCATCTTGAGGCACACAGACTCAAAGTGGCCGTTCTTGTGGCAAAAGTTGCAGGACGCACGACGAGCCGGACAGTCGGCGAAGGGGTGTGATGCGCGCCCGGAGAAAGGGTACAGCTGCGTTGGTTTATCAGCTGGCACTGGCTTTCCCTTGCAAGGCGAGTGGCGTCAGCGGCGAGCAACGACGAATCAGCCGAGTCATGAGCCTTGTGCTCAGTGACGTACCAACTTGCTTTTGAGTGGGGGGGGCAAACCAGACGCCCCCCCCTTCCCTTACCACCCCCCTCCCCGCCCTTTAAGGCCGGGAAGGCCGGGGGGTATCCCTTGGGCGCCGCCGGCCAGTGTTTGCCCTCCCCGGTGGCGGCTGTTTCAGGGGGGGGGGGGGGGGGGGGGGGAAACAGATGCCTTGCCCCTTCACTCTGAGAACTAAGGGGGGGGGGGGGGGCAGGAGGGCTATGTTGCGCTTTTTGCACTCCCAGGAGACTAGGGAGAGGGAAGTGACGTCAACAACGCAGCAAATGCAGATTGGATGTTGAGTTTTTCTTCTGTCAACATACAATCTGCATTTGCTCAGTCGTTGACGTCACTTCCCTCTTTCAAGTCTCCTGGGAGTGCAAAAAGCGCAACATAGCCCCCCAGGGGGCAAGCGCCCCCTTTGCCTCCCCGGTTGGTACGCCCATGCTTGCGCTCGTTATCAGCATCTTTGGGTTGGCGAATATGCGTGAGCGCTTCGTGCAACGTCAATCGCGGATTCCGACAGAGCTGGTCCGAGAACTTGCGGTCGAGCAAGCCCACAAAAAAAAAACGGCCTCGGACGAGCCGCTCTTCGACGTCACACTACACTATCCACTTTAAAAGTGAAGCGTAGTAAATATTCCACAACACATAAATTCACTGTAAACGACCTAATATCTGTGTCGTGAGGGTGTGTGCCCGCGAAATATTTCTGGCATTCACACTAGCAAACGTAGTGAAATTTAGACTTCTATAGTAATTCAGCATGCAACCAAGGCTGAACGGTTTTTTTCTAAACTGATAGGAAACAGGTCATTCATTTGATAATCAGATGTAAATACCGTTGCGGGTCGGCAATTCGCCAGTCGAAGATCCATGAGGTATTCGTCGCATTACCGTAGCTGGTAATCCATTCGTAAGCGTCCCCATCGCTTGTTAGGTTCGCGCGAAGAATAGTGACGTTATTTTCACTGCCTTCTAACTCACACTGGAAAAGGCCGGCCATTCTTGGCAAAAGGGACGTGAACAAAAGAACAACGGCACATTGAACTATCAACCTGAATGACCGTTACAGCACAGGTCCAGTTCACCCTCGAAATCCGAAATAAGATGTGTACATGCAAATACGTAATTTTTCCGATGGTTATCTGCTTAATTTTATTATTTGAATAGTGCCTTTGTGTTCTATTAACTTTCTCTATGCGTTTTATAGCGCTTGATAAGCCTAGACGCAGTTATCTGCTGTTGTCGTCTGCTACTTCTCCAGGGGGGTAAAGTCACTGCCAAGAAGAGCCAAGCAGCCCAGCCCAGCGTTACCCACTGCGTTACCCAACGAGCGCTAACGTCTGAAACCCGAGACTGAACCTCAGTCTGGAATTTTTGAAATAGAAACTTTAATTAGCGCCACTGGCGATAATTAAAGTTAGCGCCAGTGGTGCTAACTTTAATCAGCTCACCTGCCTTATTACGTTATTTTCAATGTTTGTTGCACTGTAGTCTGTAGTTTAACAAATAATTGTTATAGAGGTCAGTATTATAAAACTTGCCGTGGATTTCTTCTCTGCAATATTTATCTTTTTGAAGTTTGTGATCATCCGATACAAAGGGTTCAACCAGTTTTGATGGAAAAGGGCCGAGTGGACGAAGCTGTCGAAGCCAATCTTGTTGGGCCAAGCCACGGTGCCAAGCCAAGTGTTCCTCAGTTCTGATCCTTGTTGTGTGTAGAGCACTATATAGCTCCTTCGGAGCAGAGTAACGTAGAGTTCCTGTATAGGCTCCCTACGGGAGCCAGAGTTGCGCATTTGTTTTCCCCGCGCCGCCACGCCGCTATTCGCCGAGATCCATCACGTGAGGAGCAAAGCATCCGTTGGCGTGCAAGAAAGCCACCTTTACGGTCGCTCCGCCGACGTTTCTCTTGCCCCGGCGTATGTTTCCCTGCTTTCCGCCTCCTTTTCCTCCTCTCCTGTTTTCCATGCGCGGCGGCGCGCGCGGCGCCGCTATTCGCCAAATTTAGTCACGTGAGGAGCAAAGCAACCAGCTCGTGCGGGAAAGCCGGCGCTACGGCCTCGCGCCGAGGCTGAATGCGCAACTCTGCTACCGTAGGTAGCTATACAGGAACTCTAGAGTAACGCAATCTAGAACGCCACCTCTCGGCGACTAGCGGCGAACGCCCAGAGGTTCCAACTGCGGTCAGAAATGCACGGAGAACGTGAGACAATCGCTGTTTCTTCAGTATTGTGGTGGTGTACGGAGTGGCAATTGTTTTTGACATAATAATGGAACATTTTAGAATAATTTGCGCTAAGTTTTGTGCCCCGCAAGGACCTGACTTTTTTTAAAAAATTGCTTGAGCGGCATCATGCAGCAGACGACACGGCGACGTCACACCATTCACGTGACCCGCTCCGGCCAACCCGAAAAGCCCATCTCCGCTGCGAGCAAAAATCGTCTGCTTCAAACGCCATTGCCTTGGAAATTGCCTTCTCAAAATTTGCACACGCATCCGATATTTTTAAAACTTTGATAAAGTGCTTAGTGCTTTACTAACTTCACGGCAGACTAGTTTTGAAAAGTGTGAACTCGCCGTTCATTTTTTAATCAGCCGTGTTGTATCGATCTCCATGTATTCTCCCATAGGGCGGGCCGCCTCCTGGAACCCTGAGTACCACGTGACTCGCGCCGAGCCGCTCTGTCGGCCATATTGTCGGCAAAACACGGGGTTCAAAGGATTGCGCTACTCTGCTCCGTAGGAGCTATATAGTGCTCTAGTTGTGTGGACGGTGATAAGGTCAGCTCGTTGCGTTGCCTGCGGTTGGACCAGTCATTTTTACGACAAAGATGCTACGAAGTTTTTTAGATTTCCGTCGAAACTCATGTATCCCGAGAAAAGAGACGCCTGGGTAGCTGCAGTGAAGAGAGTGCACCCGGATGGCTCGCTATGGGAGCCGAGCGGGGACTGCCAGATCTGCAGCGCGCACTTCATCACAGGTACCACATCGTGAGCTTCTGGCGAGCTTTGCCCGATTATAACGTGGTGATGACTTCTAGGGCGGCCATCAAACTTCAAGAACCGCCCTGATTTCGTGCCCACCGTGTTCAACTACGCAAGAGCTCCTGGCGAGGCCTCAGTGCAGCTGCCTGACCCCTTTGTGAAGAGGCAGGAAGGTAAACGCAGGACTTCTACTGCCACCCTGCATTTCAGTGCTTCTAGATCATCACGGAAAGAGGCTGCACGCGCGACTACACGCGCTGCTGCATGCGAGCCTCGCCTTACTTTGTAGCCGTGGAACTACGAAGCAGATATTTAACTAAAGCAAGGGTGCAGGCGAGCTGGTTTAATACTGACAAGGTAACCCTAGAGCCGGGGAAAAGAAGGGACGTAGGACAGACACAAAACTCCAAACACAACACGGTGGCAAAAGCGTGCAACGGTATGCCACAAACACCAGAACATCACTCATACAGCGATATCTCGAACGGATGACCATATTTTTAAAAAAGAGGGAGGCGCATTGGACAGAAATGTTCACATCATGTTTTTCCGAGAAGGAGAGGGAATGGCCTCGCGTCTTTACTGCCTCGCCGCCTTGAGGGGGCGAAGCGAATAGGGGAGGAAACGAGATATCTTTACGTCACGCGCCTCTTTGGCCTCATTCAATCTTGACCTCTTTTTCCAAGAATATGGCCGTTCATTCGAGATATCGCCGTACGAGTAGTGTTGTAGGGATTGTAACATCCCACCTACATCTCCTGCATTGTTTTTTTTTTAATCCATATTTCGGTCCACCATCCCTTTAAATAGACCTACGACCAAGCTACACAGACAAAAAAGGCTTGTCCTCCGTCCCTTCTTTTCCTGGGCTCCAGGGTTACCATGTCAGATATATACCGCCTGCGTCAAAGGAATCGTTGGCCGTTTGAAGGGGCCACATAAATCAGTTTCTAAATGTATCGAGCAATTATTTTGTTCAGTGGTGGCCAAACTTGATGCATTTTGATCAGAAAAATGGGAAAGAATGAACTTTAGTAAAGAGCAAAAAATGCAGAGCCGGAGTTTGCTGCATTCAGCGGCTGTCCGCAAATGAAGTATGTCTGGGTGGCGCAACTGGTGGAAGGTGGCGGCATCTGTTGTTGTAGCCGAAATAGCCTGACAAAAAGTCTTTCTTCTTGGTTTTGTGTCCACTGAGTTTATTTTATAAGTAAATGTAACAATCGTGCATAACTCCAAAAAAGCCCATGCTGCAATTGATTCGACAACATTGTCTGCTATTGCTGAGGTTGAGGGAAGTGCCTATGGGGCGGTTGGGCATAGCCTCCTTTATCATTTCATTTCATTTCATTTATTCAACCCTTAAAGGCCCAATGGGCATTACATAAGGGGAACAAGGAATATAAAGCTGAAAATACAGAACACTGCACAAAGCGAAAAAAAACATCAATTATACAATTGTACATGCTACGAAAAATAGGAGAGAAAATCCACACAGAAAAAAATGAGGTCAAAAATCGCCAACATATGAGCTATGTAGGCACTCTCTAAAAGAATAAAAGTAAAAGTAGCCAACTATGAAAACAGTGTGGAAATCGCCTCACGGAACAAGCCGGTGTCACTAATGCCGACTATGGTGTTGGGAAGGTCGTTCTAATCGCGGATGCCTCGCGGGACAGCGGAGTTAATAAACGCATTAGTTTTACCAGTTAGGTGCTTGAAACTTTTGGTGTTAGTGGCTCGATGGGCAGATCTGTTGGGAGGCTCAAGAAGAGGTATATTACTATCGTGATAGTAGAGGTTATGGATGAGGCACAGAAGAGCAGTTTTATGGCGGTTTTTAATTAGAGGGAGAGAACACTGACTTTTTAGAGTAGAAGCACTTATATTATAGGAATAACTAGATAATATAAAACGTGCCGCTCGGTTTTGGACGGCTTCGATACGTTTGGTTAAGTAGACTTGATGGGCGTTCCAGATCAGTGAATTATGCCCCGATCGGCAGATCGGGGCATAATCAAGTTTTGGGCAAACGTAAGCTTTGTAGACTAGTTTACGGAGTTAGGGATGTGCTGTCTTGAGGTTAGGCTTAATGTATCCGGGGTTTCGTGAAGCATTAGCAATTACGTTGTTTTTTGTAAGTGATCCATGAAAGGTTAAAAGTGAGCTGAATTCCCAGATATTTGTAAGAAGAAGCAACGCTGACAGGCGTGTTACCAAGGGAATAGGGGAATGAGGAAAGGGTTTTTTTGCGAGTAAAATTAAGGAATTTACATTTCGACGTGTTTAGGGGCATTAGCCATTTGTCACAGAGTTATGAATGTTGTCAAGAACTCACTGAAGGATTAGATGGTCATCTGGAGGATTAATTTTTCGATATAGTACACAGTCATCAGTAAACAAACATGTTAGAGGACAGTGAATTAGGAAGGTCGTTAATATAGATAAGAAACAGAAGAGGCCCTAAGACGGTGCCTTGAGGGACTTTCGAAGTTACGTTAGAAGTGTCAGATTGAAAATCCCTATTGACAGTAAACTGGGAACGGAGCGAGAGAAAGTTTCGAATCCACGAGAGAGTTAGAGAATGTAGTTAAAGTGAGGAGAGTTTAGATAATAAACAATAAGGAGGTCCGCGATCAAATGCTTTAGAGAAATCAAGAAATATGGCAACGGTTTGAGAGTTAGTGTTCATATAAACATGATGGTCATGAGTGAAATCGAGCAGTTGCATATCACATGAGAAGCCGTTTTGAAAACCATACTGATATTCATAAAGAAATATTGTTAGATTCAAGATGTGATGCAACATGAGAGAATATTATATGTTCCAACAACTTATACTCAAATGCCTGCCAAAGGCAACAGAATCGGCGTCCGCTCTTCCATCCTATCTCTCGCTATTTCGCCATGTGTCCTTGAGGCGTGGCGTGGCTTGACAGTGGGCTTGACGGCTTGACTAGCTTTATAACGGGCCAAGGCATAGCTAGCCTGCATGATGCTGTCTTCTCAGTAAAGCATTGGAGTTTTCGATGCGGTTTGACACTGTGCCAAAATGCGAGTCTGAAAATGTAAGTCTAATGCCGAATGGAAAATTCAGGCCATCTCATTTCACAAGATTCTGAGTGACAGTGCGCTAAAGGAGACACGTATGAAAGCGATCGCCAGGAATGACTGGGTGCCAAATGCAACGTCGCGGTACTCTGTTGTTTGCAGGCGACACTTCTAAGACACAGATGAAAAAACCCAGACAAGAAACAGTTATGGCATGAACAAACAGTTCTGAGTTTTTGTTGATTGCAGAATGTATCTAACTGAGTACAGTCGAATCTCGTTAATTCAAACTCTGTTAATTTAAACTTGTGGATAATTCAACCTAACATGCAGGTCCCATCCTACATGTGTCTATGGGAGGAAACTCCCTGTAATTCAAACTTTGCTTTATTCAAACAAATTTTTGGTACCCCTCGAGTATGAATTAACAAGATTCGACTGTAATCTGTTAGCAGAGAATGGATGAAAAGGCATCAAAATCATCTGGTGGGATGGTTGTTGAACACTATAGAATAAAAACACCGCGAAACACACAAACAAGAAGAGGAACACAGGGCAAGCACTTGTCTTATTTTCCTCTTTTTGTCCTCTGCACTTTTTTTATTCTACAGCGAAGCTCAGACCGGCGGCGGACTTTTCGCCAAGAGGCTTAAATCAGCTACTGTTTTAAGGATTATTTTGTATTGTATTCTCGGGTCGATACAGTGTGCACGTGAGTGATCTCTACCAGTATATGTTTCTGTTCTAGGATTGAAGGGCAGAGATGAAATAAAACACTTAAAATCAGGTTTGTGAAACCAGACATATACCCATAAAAAGAAAGAAAAATATGAATTAAAAATACTCTTACAGGAGTAGTTTTCCATACGTCCCTTCCCCCTCCTAAAAAAAACAGCAAAACATAAAGGAAACAAAATAGTCAAACCAAAGGGCATTATTCCCTATCACTGCATTTGTGAAAGAAATCAACCCAGCGCACCCACAGTGTATCTGGAGAAATAAAAACTGTAAGCCCATACCACGAAACCTTGAACATGAATCACCCAGGGAAGGCAATTATTTTACTTTCATTGAAGCGAAAACTTGATTCTCTTTGCACTATGAAAACACATGAAAACTATCGTGTTGGAGATTAATTCAGAAATAAATTACTTTTGAAATGTATTATCTGAAACTGTGATACTGCCTCTGCTTTCTTCAAAAGTGCCATGTATACTGGGATGAATGGGGGGCATTTTGAGGCAATTCAAGCTCATGTAAAAAGTCTTTGGCCTCAAAACTGGGAAACGTGCCAACAATCTGCAGATCAGTTTTCAATTATCTTTTAAACAAAGCCACCCCCAGGTCAATCCGTCCAGTGACAACAGGTTCTGTGACGCCAAGTTTTCAGCTATATTTACTGGGGGGCTGGGGAGTTGTGATGTCCTCTTAAACAGTTGCTTGGGGAGTAAAGACCATACTGATTATTAATTCTCCCACTAAATATAATTTGGTGTCACAGAACCTGACATCACGTGACACCATCACATAAGGTGTTTTATTACCTGATGTCATATTGTCATCATGGGGTCACATGATAGTATTAAATCAGGTGCTAGATCCTGCTAGATTTTGCTGGGATTTTGATGTCCCATGATGCCAGGTCCTAGGGCTTTACATGCCTCCCTAATACATGCAACATCTTTTTTTTATAGGTGACAGAGCTGCACCTGTGGGGGACACCAACTTCCAGTTTAAAGCTACCAAGGATATCTGGTTTAAATGCTGTTTCTGTGTGTTTGTCACTACAGATCAGCATGGAATAACGAGCCACTTGGTTTCCCACGGTGATGAACAATTCAAGTGCCAGCGTTGTCCAGTGTTGTTTGACTCTATGTCAGAATTGCAGTGTCACTTTCAAGTGCATACAAGTGATGAGTCATTCAAATGTCCCAGCTTTCCAAGAATATCCCTTACTGAGCAGTTCTGTTTGACTCATCTGCGCACCTACAAGTGCCCGCGCTGTCACATAGCCTTTAAGGAACGCGGGAACCTGACCGATCACATTCGAACACACTTGGCAGAAAAACCTTACAAGTGCAAACAATGCCTCAAAGTCTTTACACATAGTAGCAGTCTGGCCAAGCACGATCGAACGCACACAGGTGAAAAAGCTTATAAGTGCAAGCAATGCCCCAAGGCTTTCACTCGGAATAGTTGTCTGACCATCCACAATCGAATACACACGGATGAAAAGCCTTTAAGTGTGAGCAATGTCTAAAAACCTTTGGTCATTCCAACAGTTTGGCAGAACATAATAGAATCCACACAGGTGAAAAACCCTACAAGTGTAAACTGTGCTCCGGAGCCTTTAGTCGGCGATCAGCCCTGACCGACCACATTCGAGCGCACACAGGCAACAAGCCTTACCAGTACAAGCCGTGTGCTAAAGCCTTTGCTCGGAATAGCAATCTGACCAAGCATAGTCAAATGCACACTGATGCAAGACCTTACAAGTGTAGTGAATGCCCCGAAGCCTTTGCTCGGAATAGCAGCCTGACCATCCACAATCGGATGCACACGGGTGAAAAGCCTTATAAGTGTGAGCAATGTCTAAAAACCTTTACTCATAAGAGCAATGTGGCCATTCACAATAGAGTGCACACGGGAGAAAAACCATACAAGTGTAAAATGTGCCTAAAAGCCTTCATTCGGTTATCAACCCTAACCGACCACATTCGAACACACACGGGCAAGAAGCCTTACAAGTGCAAGCAATGTCCAAAAGTCTTTGCTCAAAGTCACAATTTGACCTTCCACACTCGAACGCACACAGGTGAAAAACCTTACAAATGTAATCAATGCCCCAAAGCCTTTTCTCAGAATAGCACTCTGACCCTCCACAATCGAACGCACACAGGTGAAAAACCTTACAAATGTAAGCTGTGTCCTAAAGCCTTCACATGGATGTCATCCCTTAAATACCACAATCAAACACACACCGGCAAAAAAGTCATAAGTGCAAGCGATTTCTAAAAACCTTTCTTTAGAATAGCAATCTGGCCATCCAGAATAGAATGCACATAAAAGAGAACCACACAAGTGTAAGTTGTGCTCCAAAGCTTTCATTTGGCTATCAACGCTGACCTCCCACATTCCAATGCACACAAGCAGAAAATCCAAGTTTTAACAATGTCTGCAAACCTGAAAATTCCGACCATCTACAACAAAATGCATATGTAAAAAATGTTTACATGTATAAGCTGTGCATAAAGAACTGGCATTACTTACAAGCCTGACTATGTTCGAGTGCACAGACAAATTCCTTTATATGGCAAGCAATGCCACAAAGCCTTTGTTCAGTTGGGTGGTCTGATCTCCCACACTCGAAACATACACAAAAGAAAAATCTTGCCATTTCTTCATACTTTATACTTAAAAGAGAATTGACTGACTACATTCAAATGCACACAGGCAAATAAACATTGTAAGCGTAAAGAGCATCCGCGAACCTTTATTTATGTTGATACTCTAGGCTCAACTTTGAAATGCCAACATCCCGGAGCATTTTCTAACTTGTTCTCCCTCAACAGGCACTTGCCGACACATAAGGATCCTAAACATAAGATTATGTGCTCAAAGATACTGACTGGGGGTTGGCCTTTCAAGTACCCGCAACGTCCCAGAATGTTCTGTTAAAGTTACTGCTGGGTGGATCACATGCAGTTTTCTGCGCAGAGCCTGATTTGCATTTTTCGTAAGCCATATATCAGAATGCTGCTCTTTGTTGTCACTTAAAGGCATTGGGGAGTGAAGGATGACCTCAAGCCAGGAGTGGTTTAATGGCAGGTCTTCCCTAATGATGAAACAGTCTTTATTTCTTAATGCACTATAACTTTCTTCAGTCATCCCCTGAAACATTCCGGTTGTCTCATCAAAGTGCTTGCATGGGGGAGAGGGGTGTGAGCGCTGTTCTCACTCACAGGGTGTTCTGCAGTCTTTACAATGCCTCGCTAGAGGAAGGAGCAGGTTGAAGAGGAAAAAGATGAACAAAAGCAGCGACGTGCTGAGTATGGCCGTGTCGATATGCCGAAGAGGCACTGGAAAAGCGAGATCGACTTTTGACCACTGATAGAGAAGCAAGGCGGGCTCGCTCTGCGTAACAGTTCTCCGCAAACCGGCAAAGTTTGCAATGGAGCACCGCGCAAACCCCATTCTTTTCACGGCTCAGGGCAGTTAAATACTAGTGATGGACCGAATCTGCCGAACTTCAGATTCGGCAAAGTTCGGCAAATGCCGAACTTTTGAAGGAAGGTTGGGCAAAGATTCGGCAAAAATTCGGCAAACGTCTGCGCACGCGCGAGAACGCGACGGGGCCAAGGATTGCAAATGGACGCCGTGCGTTCGTGCGGTTACCATCGTACAGTGTAGTACTACCAGCGGATACGGCAAGGTACGGAGTAGGCGACGTGGTAACTGTGTTCGTCAGCCTTTGTGAGTGTGATTCTTCAATATTTTCTGCCTGAAGAACAAAATATCGACCAGAAATGGACGCAAAAATGCCGTAGTCTACCGCGCAAGTGACAAATGATGCTGTACATTCGGAATGACCTGATTTTCATTTGATCTTTCCAGTGATGCAGCGAGGTAGTTGCAAACTTGACTGACAAGTACTTTAAAGCAGTCCTCGCCATTCTAGCAATCCTGTTTTCGGCTCAAAAGTAGTTTATGATCGAACAAAATAATAATGCTTTCAATTAGCGCTATTTCGCGGCTTTCATTTTTCCGCACAAAACGAAACAGAACTATCACGCTCGACGTTGCACATCCGACATTCCTAACTCTTCCCATCTTCCTAAACGTCCAGTGTGTCCTGACATCGGAAACCGGCCTTTAAAAGTTAAAAACGAGACGTTGCGAATACGGGATGGACACTTCCATGCAAAGCTGGCGTCAAGTGACTCAAATCGAAGAACATGCATATTTACAGTAATATTGTTATATCTTCCGGTGAAGGCTAAACAGCCGTTGCATTCATTTTCGCGCACGAAGCGGTGACTCGCAGAGGAAATATAGAACACAGTGTTACCGCCTTTTTTTCAATAACACACACTTGCAGGTTTGAGCTGATGAGGTCTCAAAACCGAAACTCGCGTATCGTGACTGCGCTGACGGCGCCCGCTACTGCCCAACCCTGTTGTCACACATCTTCTGCACAGAGTCATTTTCAAATACCAGTTAACATACAAAAATGACACGGATACTATAATCTTGTAAAATATCGCCCTACTTAGTAATAACTGCGTCAATATGCATTAAAGAAAAAAAAAAACACAACAACTTACACACTTTTTTTGCACGATAAAACGATATATCAACTTTTAGGTTTGGTAACATGTATTTTTGCCGAATCTTTAGAAAAGTTCGGCAAAAATTCGGCTTTGCCGAATTCCTAGATTCGGCGCCAAATTTTTGATTCCACAAAAGTTCGGCCCATCACTATTAAATAGCTATGTTCCGCATCTGAATACAAACTAAGCCATGCTTTTTGGACAACTGTTAGCTGCATTTGCAAACATGGTTTATTGTGGTTGTTCGGTTCATTTTTATTTTGTCTTTGTGTAGAACAAAGAAGCTTCTGCAAATAAATGCTTGACAAGACATTGACTTCGCTGAATTGCTGAATTGAAATTTGGAGCTCGCAAAACAAAGCTGGAGCGATAGGCCGGACGCTGCAAAAGTCAGAAACATCACTCATACAGCGATATCTCTAACGGATGGCCATATCTTTGGAAAAAAAGTGCGCGATTGAACATTGCCGACAAGACATGTGACATCGCGATTCTCATATGCCCTCCCCTCTTCGGTTTGTCCACTCGAGCAGGTTAACCGAAGCGAAAAGAAGAGAACCGAGACCGCTTCTCATTCTCAACTGTTCAGAGAGAATCGTGACGTCCCATTCCTCGCTTGATTGCACCCTTCTTTTAAAAAAAATACGGCCATCCGTTTGAGATATCGACGTATCAGTTATGATTTGGAGTTTTTAGTGTCCCGTTCAACGCTTCTGCGGCCTTATTTCGTGAAACACAAATTTGGATTCATAATTTCTTTAAAGAAGGGGCAGTTTCAACTGCCCTGATGTATTTTTTTTCAGGGGTTTTAGGTATTCATAAACAGGCGAATGTGGTGTCATTGGCAACCATGTGGTGACTCTTTAGAAGTGTCCTAAATCCGTGCTATGTTGAGATTTCATTTGGCAATTGGCTGGGTTCCATTGCGGGGTAAGGGATTCGAATGAATCACACTGCACACGAAGTGCATGTTCGTGCTGTTCTAACCCCCACAGGTTTCAAATATAGACCTACTGTATCAATGCCAGGTGTGGAACTGCTGTGCCACCCTGTGCCAAACGTATTTGTGCCATTCAGCACCGCTGCCTATACATACGGCTATATATATATAATAGGGTCCTGCTGGCATAGGTCGGCATTTTAAGCTGTCCTCACTCAAACTCACGATCACCACTTTTTCCTCAATCAGAACACACGCCCACTAACGATCATGATTTATTCAAAATAGGGTCATCACCCGCACTCAACCTCGCGGTTCAACACAAAACCGAAAATCACTCGCCGTCATCATCACGGTCTTCACGCTCACAGATAATCACGGTCATCACGCCCACAGGTCATCACGAATCATCAGACTCACAGGTCATCACACTCACAGGTCCTCACGGTTCTCACACTCACGGGTCACCACGCTCATCACACTCACAGATCATCACGGTCCTCACGGCACTCACACTCACAGCTCCACGGTCCTCACACTCGCAGGTCATCACGCTCATCACACTCAGAGGTCCTCACGGTCCTCACACTCACAGCTCCTCACTGTCTTCACACTCAGAGGTCGTCACGGTCCGCACACTCACACGGGTCTTCACGCTCATCACACTCACAGGTCCTTACACTCACAGGTCATCACGCTAACATGTTGCTTTCTTTGTGTTTTTCTTTTGTTTCTCGCAAGCCATTGGATTGTCTTCGCGTGGGTCGTGCGGCAGGGAAACTACCTTAAAACTGAATTTCTGAGCCGCTTATCCAATTTCAAAGAAATGCACTATGTTTATGTTTATGCTCCGCACATTTCTGCCAAATTTCGTTAACCTGGATTAATTGCGAAAGAAACAAAATTCAAGCTGCCAAAAGTGGGTGTGTTGAAATTTCGCCTGCTGACAAGGGCGGCGGTAAAACACAAACGCGAATTCCGACAGGTTACACAGACAACGTCGCAGTGATTAGAGCATCGCCTCGCTGTGAATACCTCGCTCATTTGTACACAAATAAACAATTACTACATATATCACCCCCGTTTCTATACCACCACGAAAACCGAGGATTACGGACCAACAACGACATGGAGTCCTGGCACCGTGAGATATAAACGCGGTGTCAGGGAGGGCTCACCCGAACATTTACAGCTTCATCGATCTGATGAAACGGGATGATGACATGACAAGCCTATCTTTGCAGCAGCTTGCAAACGGTGGTGCCGTGCGGACCAGGGGGTCAGCAAGTGGGTCAGCAAGGACCGCAAACTATCAGAATTTTAGTGTCGCCTTTTTTATGTCACGATTTCCCCGTTCGGCTTCTTCAACAAGGCGAAGGTATTTTCTGGTCTATAATTTGTTTTCCGGTGTGAACGAGGGTTCAGTGTTTGAGACTGTAAACAAAATAAAGTCGCAGTCATATGCTTGTCAACCTGTTTGATTTATCGCTCAGAAATACCCAGTAGTTCGCTATAAGGAAGTTTTAGAAAATCGTACGCAAGCGCTTTGGGTACCCTAAACTTAGCCTCGCGGTATAAAAAGGACGCTAATTTTAGCTTACCCAAAGTGCTTGCGTATGTTATTCTTTGACTGCCTTATTGCACAGAGCGCGACACCATTAGCGCGAACAAGCGATCGTCATTTTTTTAATGTTTATCTCATGGAATCAAAAGGCTGCCATCAAAACTATTAGTGTCTTTGGAAGTGCTCATCTGGGCCACTACTAACCTAAGCAGTAAAATTTTGTGCCTACTAATACCATTTGTTACCGCGAACAACGTCGTTATCGCGGTAACAGTGTCGCGTAGTGTACATAGTCCGTTTCGCGCTTCCATGTTTTGGGAACCACATTGAAAAAACAAAACAAAAATGTTTTAAGTGGTTGAAGTAGGAATATTACGTTTAAGCTTGTCTGAAAGGATCGTATATTTTAAGAATACGTCGACATGCAAAGCTATTTCAGAACATATTCTTAAGCAGAAACGGTGCTCAGACCAGGGTGGGAACGATGGAGGCTTTTCGCGAAGAGGTTGCGATGTACAATGTCTTATACAAATGGGTTGAAACGGGACGCGTTCAAACGCAGAGGGTGCTTCGGGTACGGGTTCAAATAAGAAGGGCGTTTCGGAAACGGGTTGAAACGGGACGGGTTCAAACGGGAATGGGTTGTTTCGGGCTACACCCATCTGTACACGTCTGCTTTGTAGAGGTTACACTGGACAGGATTGAGCAGAAATTGTCTCTTCGGGTTGGCAGGTTGACTGACTCGGGGTCTTTTTGAACTACCTTGCTTCGTTTCTTTACTAAACTCAACCCCTACAG